GGTATTTTGAGTAGTTAAAGCAATTTGAATATTTTTTCTGTGGTTTTTAACAAAGACATGAATAAAAATGATTATTTTTCATTCTCCATTCCTTTGATTAATTAAGCGAACTATTGGATGTTAGGGTTTTTATTTTTACATAAAATTAATTATTTTAATTGGAACCGCCTAAAAAAAACCCTATTAGTTGCAATTTTCGTATCTTTTGTGAAATTTGTCTCGAAAGTTGAACGTCTGACTATAAATCGAGAATACACAGGTATACTTATATAATACGTACTCACTTATTTTGGTACTAATTGCTTCATGTGAAAACGACTATTACCTTCTTATATCACATCACTATTAGATTAAATGTCATACGTGTGCCCATGCGTGTGTAATGTTTTTCTCGCTGTCGGCGTTGTCCATTTCACCAGAGCTCCTATAAGTGCCTCACCAGTGCCAAGTCATTTACATCCGAAACGTTATAGCTCTCGAATTTCTATTCCTTGGCATCCGTACAATCGGCGCACTTCTTTCCCTTTCCATCGTTCTGGTAGCGTTTTTTTTTTTTATGTTGCCATATAGCCGGGGAATAGCACTGCTAGCTGAGAAGCAAAATACATTGGCCGAATTTAATCAAAACCTACCCTAGGGGTTGCGTCACATCGGCGCTCTCGGATATCTCTAGCGCGCCCCATATATGATTCGGCATCTGCCAAGAGGCAGATGCATGTCGTTTTCCGGACATCCGGACGGAAGTTTTATCGTTGCCGTTCGCCAAAGGATATAGTACTACGCTCTTGCATAGTATATACGCAGATATAAAGAGTTGTGCATCATATATAAACGTTTTTGTTCGTTTTTGAACTCGAAAGTTTCACTAAGCACGGTTACTTTACCGCGATAGAAGCGTTAGAAACGCCTTTGTACTTCACCCCGCCGCTCCGTAAATGTAGTGCAGTGTTCTCGGTGAAATACCATCATCATCATCATCATCTATTCTATTCGCCTTGTACTACGCGCTTTCGTTACGTAAAAATAAATCTAGTCAAATCGCAATGTTTTCTGTAAAGATTTTTTAAACCGGAATAATTCGAAATCGATCATAGTGTATGGAAGAGCGTCTCGCGAGAATTCGCATGACGATAACAATAACTTAGTATTGTTTAATATAGCATATAGCATATCAATTGCAGTGTATTCTATTTTTTATCGTTTTCGATACATGTTCGCTTTTTTAAAATATACTTTGCTAACTTCTAAAAGAATTCAACAGTAGGTCAAAAATATCAAATATGATTATTATTTTTTTTTCATAAGAAAATAAACGAATTCATGATCACACGTCATTACATTAAAATCTAGTTTATTATTACAATGCCGTTGACAGCAGTAAAAAAAATATAAAATTGTTGTTTTGTCTTAAACTAATAAATCGCAATATTTAGATGTTACGTATTTATAACTCGCTGGAGCAAATCAATTATAAATGTTTGATTAAACCTGGACTGAAACTCATTTAACCTGATTATTTATCAAAAATATATCTGCATACTGGTACTTGATTTTTTTTTTTTGCAAGTAAGTATATTCTAACCTAACCTAACTATTGTGACTATTTAATTTTCGTAGATCTTATTTATGATCGATACCGTACTGTTTGCCATCTGAGACTTTTAAAAAATAAATAAAATGAAATCCGGAAAATTTACATATTTATATCTTAATATTTCCTTTTATCATCTCAGAATAAGATTTGATTTATATAATAAGTAATAATATATAAGGACTTTTATATTGTATAATATGATTACATTTAAAAATAATTTCGAGTGAAGTTTTGTTAAAGATGTTCTATTTTAGTTTCATCTTATTTTTACTGGAATTTTTTCTTTCGTTAAAGCGGCTTCTGAGAAGTACGAACACCGAATGTTTTTACTTCAAAAGTACCAAGTAAATACCTACAATTTTCAATTGATAGCTACTTGAAACTTTCAGAACACTCGTTTAAACTAAATAGGGACCACAGAAAAAAAAATAATTGCATAACCTGTGTGCATTTGATTTACAAATCATCATTCTGAGACTCCGTGTAGGTAGACGAAAAAAAATTAAATAAATGTTTAAAGTAATCTAAAAAAGATTTTAATAAAAATGCACAGGTTTTTTTACGTTTTGTATAGTCATTTAATTATTGCGCGTTCTACGTAGTAATTCATACCAACCTCGAAACGTAAAATTAAAACGATTTTGGTCGTGGAATTATTATGATGTTTTTACTGGAATCCATGTGTGTTTACCGTCGTATACTATATTGTTGTTATCGGGTACTATGGCTGGTAGCAAAGTTGCAATATTTATGAGACAACTTGGCAGACTTAGAACTTAGATGGATTGTACATCGACAAAATCTATACGCTATAAAAAGGTTTAGTGGACGAAAAATCGTCACCGGATATACAAGTTGTGAAAAAAGAAAAGAAAAAGAAATGGCTCCGATTTTTCCTTCTTTTTTTCGGTTGGAAAACTTTGAAACGAATATAGGACAATCGAATGGGTGTCGAAAATCGTCTCACTCTACGCATGAATAATCCAAGACCCCAGCTTTGTCCATGATTTTTGAGTGTGGTTAAGATGTTTGACAAAATTCAATTTGTAAAAATAATGTCACTTGTTAAATTTTACAATGCTAATAATGCATACTGATTTAAAATACATATAATGAGTACAGAATGTATTTAAAACTCAATAGTTTGATAATTATGTCGATTATTCCATTGTTCAATTTAAATAGTGAATACATTTTTAAATGTAATAATATAGTAAAATAATTTTCCATAGCATGTAATTTTTTTTTAACTTTATAATAATTATATTCATTCGAACGGAAACATCATTTTATAGGTTTATTCAAGTAACTTAAATATATTTAGATAAAAGTATTTTATTACACACTTTTGAGCTGTAACAGTTTGAAATGTATTGGATAAAAATATAAGATGAAATGTTTATTTTGCATGGACCATAATGGTTTGAATATGTTTGGACCGACTTTTGAATAAATTACATTTTAATTCCAGAATTTATTTATTTAATATTATAACCTAAATCCTGAAGCGTTCATACTGTATCAACAGTGAAATGAAATTTTTTGCAACTGTTGCCATGAAAAATGTGCATTTTTATGTATTTTTTATATTCCTCTTACGAAACGGTAATTGTTGCTGAGTCATCGTCAATATACAATATTATGTTATACTATTCATTTTTCGTTTTTCTGGCATGTGTCAAAACGAATCTTATTGTCACTTCCTTGGTACATCCGTATCGTGCCAAAATGAGCCTGAACATGCCTATTCGCGTCGACAAACCCACCGCGGTGACAATAATTATTACAATAATAATAATATCGTCTCCTCTGACTGGTTGGTTGTCGGTGTTATATTTTTCGACAAACTGTTAACACGGCGCTTCGGTTATGCAATTTCGCTACACTTTTCAATGTTGTCATAAGTTTATAACGTGCGGGGATATTTTAATATAAAAATATTATTACTATTATTATTAGCTGTCGTAAGCCAGTACTTTTCAACATGTGAATAGAGGTGCTGTGCTTGTGACACGATGGCGTAGCGTATTCGTATTTTAAATTTATCAATAGTTGAGTTTTTGATACTGCCTACATATTATGATGTAGACGGTTAACTTGAATCTAAAATACCGTTTTTTTTTTTTTTTGCTCAGCAAAGTCAAAATCGTGAACAGGCTTTATTTCAACTGCCAAGTCTTGTTTTTTACTTATATTATTGTTACAGATTAAATACATAAATCAAAAATCGAAAATAATACTTTTGATGCATAGCTACCTTTTTAAATATATTAAAATATACAATTTACCATTATCATTACGTTTCATAAACATTATAATATCGTCATCCTGCATCCTTCTTACACAAGATGTAGTCGTATGCGTCCAACAACTGACTGTGTGATGATGTTTAATATAAATATACGAATATGCGATATTTGTGACGGGTTTCCGGGTGAACATATTGAGAACCAAGAGAGAACAGTATAGGAAACTCGTGTCGATTATGATAATGGAAATGTCTTTGTAATTATATTTATAGTGACTGTGTTGTTGTTAATGTTGGAGGTGGGTAGATTAGTCTATACTTTAAATAAAAATATGTATATCCATAACATGATTTCGAGGTTTCGATGTGCTTTGGCGCTATTCGTCACGGACAGGATCCTGTGTGTCGGTATACATGATCACGTGACAGAATGTGATTTCGTATTTAATTTGGATTTTTTTTGCATATATTATTCATATTATTATTTAAAACACCAGACGCACGAAATCGTTGCTGCCATTATTATTTTGAGATACGATTTTAAAGTCTCTGTAGCGTGTACAGTTTTCGCCGGAGGTGTAACGATTGCTTGGCTGTGAGTCATAATAGTACTGCAGTCACTATAAAAGCTAAATCGCTGTGGCTGCTGTAAAAATCTCGATTTTGGATTAACGTTTCAATGGCTCATGACGTGGAGGAGTAAATGAGAAATCGAAAATCGCGACAATCATCTCAAACAACCATGGTTTACTATATTATTATGTACGTGCGCGTATTACGTTTTTTTTTTTATCTCCCTCGTGTAACTAAAGCACATTCCAATATCTCATCGAATCAGGTAAATCCCTAACCTACCATGTATATATGCTTTTATGTACAAAATACAAAAAATATTATTGAAGTTAACGTGTGTGTACGTGGCACATAGAATAAACATTGTGTATATACGATGTTTAGATACCAATCGCTCTAGAGGGCGTATAATGTAATACAGTTTAAAAAAAATGTCGTCAATGTTAACAAAATGTGCCCAGTTATTATTTAATGTCAATATTGTAATATTTAAGTTTATGAAACTATTCGTCTACTATAGTTGTGCGGTGTATTTTTGTATGTTTAATTATATATCTAATACAATTATTTTGTTTATGATTTCAGTGTCCGAACATAGTAGGATATTTTCTGGTAACAACACACACACGGATTACTTTAAAACTTTGCTCAGGGATGGCAACAACATTTTAATCGGAGCCAGGTAAATATCCAAATATTTTTATAAATATGTAAATAATGATATATTATATTCTACATAACAATTTAAAGTATTCATCGTGGCATGTTTAACTACAACGTCTATAACTTAGATTATTATTATCTTATGACGTTTATAGTATATTTATCATAATTAGTGTTTATTACGTATTTTGGTGCATTCGAAATGTCTAACATAATTATAACGCTGAATTATTATAAAATAATTCAAATTCGAATTTTATAGAAGTTGCCAAAAAATAATTGTTAAACTTGACTTAACTTTAGACGAACTTCACAAATATTGGTTTAGAACTAAAATATTTCAGATTTTGCAGTTTCACTTATTGTTACGACCATCATCATTTCGGAGCCAACTTTATATTTGTATAGCTGAAATTAAAAATAAATTATTCACTAAATTAAGTCTAGTTATTGTAACTTCTAATTTTTAATTGTTTGGTATTTCGATAAAAAATATAAGCAGTATAGTAAGTTTGTAGAAAAGTATAAAAATATGATATTTACAAGTTACAACCTATGATATTTTATTATTTTAAGTTACTATTATTTACATAACATATTTCTAAACATATAGATAAGTACACGTATGTGCGTTTTTCTCCCTCGTCACAAAATATTGTCGGTAGGCATTCAAATGCTTGAGCGATAAGAATATTTATTTCTTAAAAAAAAAAGAAATAGCGTATACATTCGTGTTCAAAATGCATGCATATTTATTATAAGTATATGTAATATACTATATTTACGTGAGGTGTATTCATCGTTCCTTTGGTGTGTACATGCTCCCTATGTTTAAAAACCTTCGAAAAGACTCTTCATTAGAGTAAAGTAAAAAGTGAAAGCATCCCTCTCCAATTTATTTCAACTTTCATGTTTTTGCAATGAAAACATCCATATAATGTCTCGTTCTGAATAGCGTTTTGAATAAGATGCATCTTTAGTATCACTTGGTACTGATTATTTTTATACTTTAAAATAATGAAACAAAATAAATGTACATTTTAGAAATAAATTCCAAGCTTTTGTACGGCGTTGATATGTTCATTGAATCATTAAAGGACAATCATATGACATTGTTTAATGACTGTTGACATTAATTAATAGCTCTTTTATATTATATATTTTTAAATGATTTTACAAATGCAATTAAACATGTAGTTTTATACAAAATATTTTGATTTAGTACAATAGCAGATTTAAGATTTAATTTTTAACCACTTTCAAATGGTTATGTAATAATATTTTATTTTTCTTATGTTTGATCTTATAATTCTTTTTTTCATTTGTTTATTTAGATAAATATTTAAAATGTAAGATAGATTTAAATTAGAGGTTTCCAAGTAGGTATATCGATCATTTTAATAATGGAATTCAATTTTAACTTTGAATAGTGTTACTCTTGGTTGAAAAAAAGGTCAACAACGAAAGCTAATAAGACACCCTTATATATATACATAGTAATTTATAGTAATTTTCATAAAAGCATTTGATGAAGTTTTCATAAAATTATTAAATAATCTTTTAAACATTTCAAATGTATTTAGGGTGTATTCTAGCAAGCTTTATATTTGTTCTCAAGCCACATTAAAACTTTAGCGATATTAAAATATCTTTAATATTTATCGTTTGAATGTTTATATCGACTGCTTCTTTTTCTTGTGAAATAAAATAGGTTTTTTCTAATTTCTATTAAAATTAAGCGACTTCAAACATTTTATTTTCAGATGTTTTTTTGTACCCATAATGCATTTTATATGAAATAATAATTGTATTTATTTAAATTGAACATTTATTCCATATTTTTTTTAAACTATATAATTTAAACTATTTATTTTCTAAATATTGTTATATTATATTGTAGTTTTTTTTACCTCTATTAATATTTGTTTTATCATGTATTCACTAAAACGAATACCTATTGTACTTAGTGTACTAAGTACATTTTTTCAGATTTATTTTCCATAAATTAATACACGTGATTCAACAAAGTAAAAAACATTTTTAAGATATTTTATTATTATTAATGTTTATAAATATATACCCAGTAGTGCCCGGCGATTTACTCTTTTTTTTTATTTAGATAAAGATTCCATAAAACAATTTAGTGTTAAAATAAAATTATATTTCTAAAATTGTTTATCTTCTGATGGTCCTGGTCTTTTGTTTATTATACAATATATTTAATATTAATATAAAGACTAATAATGTAGAGTTTTTACATTTCTTCGTATTTTGCATTCTCTCTCTTTAATAATTTTACATTTACATCAACTATATTGTCCACTATATTTTAAATATTTCAGTTGAATGTGTCCTCGTGAAAGAATTTAGTGTTAAATTAAATTTATATATCCTAAAATAGTTTATTTTCTGATATCCTCTTAGTTATTATACATATTGTGTAATAATGTACTAGTTATCAATTTGAAGTATTTTGGATTCTGACTCAATAATAATTTACAGTTTTTTCAACGTATTGTCAACTATATTCAAAAATTATTTCCCTTGAACTTGTGCAGCTGCCTTTCATTTATTGTGTGATTACATACAATTGTATTTTTTTTTATTTAACCTACAGTTCCAAAATAGTTTTTAATAATAAATATTCATCGTTTAGCATGTGGAATTTCACTTTGTTCATAATTTTTAATTAATATTTAGTTTTATTTTATGCGCCAAATATTTTTCAACTCAAAATACTGTACTAAACTTTTTTCAATATAATATAATATGAAATCAAAAAAACTGGTTGCATTATATATTAAACTTTTATTTACAATAAGAAATGTGACTTTTTTGTCGGAAGATTATTCATATTCGGATTGACAATCAAATATGACGACAAATTTTTTTTCGTATTTGTTCTCTTTTTATAATAAGCATGACAGTATATTTGGTATTCGTTTAAATTATTTTTGGCTAATTGTTGTAGTGCCTTTCTAGTTCATGCCATTAAAATGTGTTTTGTTATTATTTTCGTTTAAACCATTAGAAAATCGGCTTTTATATTAATTTTGTGTTTCGTCATTCGCTGTGATTCGGTGAAAGGTATCTACTAGAACGATTGCTGTGAAAGCGCTTGTACGATCAGAATTATTCATGAAATCTCGGGGTGTGTTCTCACCTAAAAAACTTTTCCCCCTAATGGTCGTACACCTCTTTCCAAAACCCCCTTGGATAACGTTTGGAATTCACAGCGTACCCAAATAATCCTGGCAAATAATCGCCGTCACTATATCTGCGTTAAATGTGACAACGTGTTTTGGTCGATTCCCGATCTCGGCTTATACAATATGTTTGGTGTTATTATTATGGCCTCGCTTTCATCGTCAATGTAGGATCATCGAAATCCCATGCAATCTACAGAATTGGCCGTTCGTATATTATATGATACATGTCCGAAAATTTTGGAATCCCGAACACGTACTGGCCGTGGGCAACGGACGCACAGTGGAGATCAGTTTCTTCGGTAATTGCCATTCCCTTCTCATGCCCCTTGTCTCGTATAACTCTCAATATCTGGTGGCGACCATTAACTGTCCGTAGAAATGCCCCGTGGACGGCGTCGCTAATTGCCTATCCATTTGGGCACGTCACACCCGAAAGGGGAGCTTTTAATGCATTTTGAAAAGTCTAGATCAAAAGATTAAGTACAATTGTTCGTGCAAAAAAAGTCCCGAACCACCGAAAATATAATTCCAGTGGGGGATGAGAGACAATTTAAAAGTAATAGTTATAATAATAACAAAAAATGAGTTATATATTTCATAACACATCAGAAGTTTTTTTTGTGTTTATATTTCAAGTATGGATTAACACAGAAATGTGTACAAATTCAGTCGACATAAATTACTGTGCCTTTAATTTTTTCAGATTATTAGCTTGATTTTTGATTCTTATATTACATTTTAATTTGGTTTGGTAATATTGATTTTGATTACTTTTAACTAACTTTTTATTTTTCTGTTTTCTGTACTTATTTTGGTTTTTGTTGAATGTCGGATGTTCTTATTTTTTTTTTTTTTGTTTTACATTGAAAACCATTCATTTGTTGTTCTTGTTTAGCTCCAATTTTCTGTTAATTTCTTGCCGAAAAAAATCTTAATTTGTTTAGTTTAGTGTTCTCTGATGTTTCGTCTGGCTTGGTGATCTTTAGTATTTTTTTGTCCGCTGTTATTGAATTAACCATTGTTAAAACGTTATTTAATTATTAAAGTACGTATATATTTTATAAGAATAAATTACTATTTAAGTACCTACGGAGAAAAGTATAATTATATTAAATAAACTTTAACTCTAAAATTATATTTAACATAATGTGTTTATTTCTTATTTTTTTTTTTATGTAGCATATAGATATTAGCTTCATTACTATTATAAATAAAAACAATTTCGTTACAATGTTCTTTCAGGTATAATATAAGTACAAACAAGTCCTTATCGATTTTTTTTTAGCTACACATAGATATTATATTCTTCGATGTGAATTTTCGGCCTATCATGCATGGAGATTTTTTTCTCTATGCGTTAGATATGTACTTTGATTATTTTTTTTTAGTATTCGTATATTAATAAATCATTTCAAATTAATAATTTACATCGAATGCAAGTTTAAATAGTAGTGTTTATTAATAAATACAGGCACATATTTAATTTTTGATAGGTAATGTATATTATCGTATTATATTTTAGCATGATGTTTCGTTATTTTTGTCTGTAGTTTAAAGTTCCGATAATATGCCAATCTGAATATTTTAGTTTAGTTTTCCTCTCATTTTCATATAAATTATGATGTTTTATAATTAAATATTGACAATGAACTTTTAGAGTATTCATTTTAAATAGACGGGGTGGTACATTGCAGAACTTCTGCACCAGAAGTTATTTTATCTTTGCGTATTATATTATATTATATTATATATCCATCAATCCAAATTTCTCCTTTCTGAAGTTTAAATGCTTAAAATTAAAATAAGTTATAAGGGCATAAACCTTAATCTTAAAAACAATATTTTGAAAGTTTGCCAGTTCTTAAAAACGACTTTCAAGTTATTAATAATCAAGTAATCTACTCACATAATCTTAATAATTGTACAGAAGTTTAATTGGGTTGTATATTATTGAAATTTGTTTCTTAAAAATTTTCCCGTAATGACATCTATAGTGATTTCTTTAAGCTGTATTATATCATTTAGCCTTATAAATACGCAGTTGAAAGCAAATGTTTAAATTATCATTTCCTACAAATGTCATCTTTAACATAATATTTCGACTCTTTTTTGAGCTTTTGATAGACATTTTGAATTTTTTTGTGTACGTCCTCCGAGATGGAAAAAATTTACTTTGGGACATGAAACTTCATAATTTAATACAATGTTCCTCATATAGAGTTAATACTGCTGTAACTAAAATAAATATATACACTTTTTTTGTTAATTTTAAGTTAAAATTTGGACAAAATTAGATATTTAAACACAGAATAATGATTTCAGTATTTTTTTGTAGTATAAAAACATTATTCGTGAGTACTTGAATCTTTCAAAATATATTGTTATATTGTTTACGCACAATGCAATTTTAAAATACAATGTTTTGGGCAAAAATAAATCCAACCTTTAGAATACTAATATTAAAATAAATTACTCTAATGGCAATATAAATACATCATAAAATATACTTATAGTGATATAGACTGACAGACCGTCTCTGCTCAGAATCGTTTTTCATCGTATACAATGATTTATCATTGAATTCAAATTTTACACATCCATTAAGGCAACCTAATCAATGGCGAGGTACACTCGACACCTGCTATACAGCAGAGCTACTTCCCTGTTTTTTTCTTTTAAATTGTTATTCATGGTATAGAAGAGTGCAGTTGCCCTACTTTTCCACTTGTTTCCTATGTTTCAAAAATTCAAAATCTTGATTCTCAATTTGTATTTATTGCCAATCGATAAGGTTTCGTTCAAAGTTTTTTAGTTCTTATTCTTTTCTCAGGAACAGTGTTTTTCTGAATAAATAAAGAAAATAATGAAAACATACCAATATTATCTGTGTTCGCTTATGCGTAAGAAACTTAATATGCATTAAAAGTAGATTTTAAAATTATTTTCACAAAGGATCAAACATACCTATTATGTTATATTCCATTTCGAAAAGAAGAGAACGATGGGTGGGAAGGGGGGGGGGTATCGCGTCTCGTTAGGTGAAAAACAAATGAACCCTGAGACCATTACCTATATGTGTTGCTTTTTGGTATTGGTAAAGGACGGAAGAATGGACGTTTGAACAAAAGCACGCCTCGTTAGAGCGACAAATGAACGGCACATAATCATTCGTTGAAAACGGAAAATGTCGTTTGTGAGGCATTTTCCCTTTTGAAAATTTCGGTCAGGTAATAACCAAAGCCACTCGAATATGAAGGGATGGATTGTAGGGTAGGCTGTTATCTGTGAAGAGCGCCATCAGTACTTCAACGACATTGAATTTTCTTCCCGACGTAAATTGTCTAGGTGTATTACAGGAGCTTTTGAAATCATTCCGCATTCGTGATAGAACAATTCTACGCACAACAAACTCAAAATAGTACATATATGTTTGTAATGTGCACACAATATAATTATTATGGTTATCGATTCGCATGATGAATTAATCGTTTGGTATAGCCATTATGTAATTACGACGTGGTGTGAATTGTATATGTTTTAATAATGCTGTAATGCACAATATCGATCTTTCTGATTTGTTTGTTAATTTGTTACAAACCTTGGCTTTTCAATCGTGTCATATAATATAGTGTATAATTGTATTTTAATATTTTCAAATATGTTCTGAAAACTAATACGTATAAACACTAAGTTTAGTACTTAAGCATATTTCAAGTTTAGTATTTTGTCAAATTTCAATTGAATGTTTCATAATGTGTCTTTAGGTATAATGTAAAGTTTATTTTTATTTAATATTCTAAGAACTATAGAACTATATATATAAAAAAAAAAAAAAAATGCTTTTTTTGTCTTCAACTGAAACGATTATACTATGATTGTCATCACTAAATTGATGTCACTACACAATGTTAACTGATAATGTATATATTTAAAGTTATAAATTATATTATCTAAACAAACTTTTTCTCGTGTATTAGAAGCGTTTATGTTAATATTTGCTTTAAAGTTCAGTGCAATTAAATGTAGTTGATGATCTTTAAGACTTGATGCATGTTTATATGTAAGATTCACAGTAATTAATTCAATTTTTCTGCAACCGTCATATTCTGTATGTTTGTTGTTATTTTTGTTCATCTTCATCATATTGTACGATTTATCAGTTAACACTCATAATATCGACAAGTATTAATAATTTTGAAATTATTTCATTCTGAATACATTACAAAACATTCATGTGTTTTAATATTTTACTATCATATTTTTATTTATCTATTATGCTTTTTTAAAAAGCACAAACATTTTTTATTTCATATGACGGATTAGACATTTTTTCTGATATTTATACTAAATTTCCAAATAATTTATTCCAATGACGTGAATAATTCTTTTCGAGATTGTGAGGGCAATACTAAATGAATCACTTTGCAGCATATTGATTATTTCCTTTAGTTTTTCATGAATATTCATATTATTTGAAAATATTTTGTTCTTTATATTAGTATTGGATAAAAATTTGTAAAAACCGCATCTTGCTTAAACATATGCATTTTTTAAGCTAACATATTGATAAAGAATTAACTTATTGGTTTAAATCTGCCTAATGTGTTATTTTGAAAATAATTGAAAATTTTAAAAGCTTCAAGTATAATGTTAACCCTAATGTTAATATTATAAGTCTTAAATATTGAAGTCACAGAATAAACTTAATGCCTTATGCTTAATGCGTTTATATATATATATATGCTGAAAAATCCGTCCAAGAAGAATCTCAATGGTGTTAAATAATTTTTCTCAGTTTTATACCATCAAATTCAATCAGTCTTTCTGTCATATCGATGTGGGGATTTCTGACTTTTCTTGTTACTTTATAATATTAAGAAAATTCCATGGATTCACTATACATAGAAGAATACAACATTTATTACAGGATGAGCAGTGTGGTTTTCGACCGTATCACAACAACTATAACAGTCTACTACATCTGGATCCACCCTGTATATACCTAATCAATAACGTCTCCCAAAAAGTTACCGTGTCGCCCTGACCCCATGGGGTTTGGGTGACTTTTGCTCATAATTATTACCTTGTGTATAGAGTACACGTGTGTGTATGTGTTGGATATATTATGTTATATATATTGTTTTATTTGCTTTGGAGTTTGGTTATAAGAAGGGGTGTTCGATTGAAAAAGTGAAAATAACAATCTTACGAGCGTTGGGAGGTCCCCAAGCGAAGAAAATCCCTTGCCACTAAACTTGTAGCCAATATTGCTTATACCCTACATCGTCCATACAACATACGCTAGACCTTTGCTGGATCGGCTTCTCATAATTAGATCTCACGGGAAAAAAAAGCTTCTGGCCGAATATTGTTTTTATAGTGATAATATTGAGTGTATACTAGACGAAACCAGCTGATTCATCATGTCTAAACCTTTCATTAATCCTACATACTACGGCTGAATTGTTTTTCTGACGAATCAATCATATACATGTTTTCAACACGTCATATTGAAATTTAAAGTTTTTTAGCGTATTCTTATCTCTGGAGCATTTCGTAGGTTAGCTGAGGTATATAATTTTTTTTTGTTAACATAAATTTGCTTTTCATAATATATAACAAGTTAATTATTTTATTTAATATACCTATACAAATGCTATCTAATTTCTTCAAATACATACTTTATGAAAATTTATCATTGAAAAAACTTGGAAGTTTGCTGAACTTTTTATGTATATATATATTCGATTTACCTAGTTCAAGTTAAGTTAGGTTAGTTGAACTATTTAAAATGGTTTTATTTTTAGACAAAAAGTTTTGGGTAGTTTCAGACTTTATTAGTGTCCAGTTCCAGTTAAACGGTAATGCACGACATTTTCGGTTCAGCCAAAATACTAACATATTATGTTTTTAAAGATAATTACTTCCCATTATACAGAATTTATGCGTACGATAAAATTTGTACAATCAATCCTAATTTTGTTTTAAATGATTATTGTTATTTGTTAAGTACAAATGAAAACAATTTTATTTCTAAAAGAATTATTGAATATCAAAAAAAATGTATTATTTTTTTAAAATGGAATGGTAGTAAATTATGTATGTACAAGTGTACAACTAATTTTAATTGTAAAGTATTTATTTTAAAAGGATAATAATGAATCATTTATAAGTATACCTATTGTAAAATTGATAACGTAGGTTGATTGACGTGCAAGAAAATAATTTGTTTAGAATTGAAGTATACAACTTTTCAAAGTTATAGTTTTTTTATATACTATAAAATAATAGCTATGTTAAGTATAGATTCTAACTTGGAAATAATTTGGAAAATAGATACGTTTTATATTTAATTTTTTTTTTTTTTACAGGAATGCGGTGTACAACATAAGTTTGGCTGATCTATCAGAAAATCAAGTAAGTGTTTTTTAAATAAAATAATGAATTTGAAAAAACTATGAGATGCTTTACGATTTAAGATTCCAAAGATCGTATTTCATCATCTGATATTAATAGTTAAATATTACATATATTTAATATCGATCGTGTTCGCAAATGTATAAATTGCGTGAGCATTATGAAATGTCTCGTTTGCGTGTCGCTTATACGCCTCCCGCCGTTGATGAATCTTATCATTAGACATATTTTTATACAGTTTCTATCATACAAACATCAACAATAATAATCATCATTTCAAATTTAATGGCTGGAACGGCATTAAAGACATTAAAAAAAAGAACCCCATGGATTACAATATACTGTTGACACTGTGTACAAGGATGAGGTGTGGTATATTTTCATTAGACCTATGTACCTACGACCAGTTCTTTGGTGCTGTAGGTGTAATAGATTGCACTGACATGGCCGAATTAAAATAAGGCATTTTGTGACTTAAAATAAGGCTTTTTTGTGACTTAAAATTATATGGCCGTTGTGTAACTATAAGTTATACAAGTATGTATAAAGTCATAAATAAATTCCGAGCTGAACAAAATAATATAAAAGCATAGCTTCATAACAGTAGCTGTGGTGAATAATTTTGAATTTAAATTATGTATTTCATTATTTTTATTTTGAACAAGAATCATATTTTATTTTAAAAGTATTGAATAAGTTCAATTATCGTTATAATATAAACTATTTTTGTATTCAATAAAGTTAAAATCGCATACTTAATGCATTACATAATTGTAGTTTTTAATAGTTATAACAAATTGTGTAGATGCTTGTATGCCTTCGAAATTCGTGTAAGTACTCATCACAATACAGAATAAGATGTAATAATTCATCCATGATTTTGTTAAGTCCGATTTTATATGCTCACCTCCTACTTAAGTTAATTGTTTGGGAACGATAGGACCCTATAAACATAAAAAATAAATATGAATAAAATACTATCCAAATATTCAAAAAGTAATGGAAGATATAAAAGGGACGAATTGTTGTATTAGTTGATGAAAAAAAATGGGAATAATAAAACTCGGGTAACGAATAAGTAGTTGCATACGGATTTTTGTGCGTTCGGAAATGCTCAACTGGCAACATCGTCTTGAGACGCTAACAACTAGGAGAAGGGGGCGTATTATCGATCGCGACGGACTGAAAACATTGTACAGAGCGATTCAAATAACCTAACTTATCCGGTCTATGTACATAATATAAAGCATGGCTTAAAATATTTTTTACGTTATTCGATTTGACCTCCTGGTTTATATGCGCTAAATACCTCATCTGTGTTTTGTAGTTAAATCCGATCGGTGTGTATATATTGAACAGCTGCAGACTAATAAATCATGGGCCGAACGTTGGCCATTAATAATTAGGTTGTTCGTTAGGGCTTTTAACATTTTATACGCCTATGTAATAACCTGTTTTGGGTCCCATGGAGTTTGTAAGTTTTTTGTTTTATTTCACTGCAACGTCGTCGTCGTCGAGTCACTGCGAAACGTAGTTATGCATTTTACTCGTTTTAGCTTTTTATTAATGTCGATAAAAGTATTGTAAGCATAAAAGTTACCTCTGGTGTTATGAACATTCTGTTTTTGTACGATTACGCGTACATTGGCGGTGGAATTTAATCGTGCGCGTAAAGACACTGCGCACACATAAAAACAGTCATAATCATAATAGTCATAATAATAATAATAACACGTTTGCGTATACACGCAAAAGACAATTGGAATTAATTCGAGAGAATATCATAATAATTATTATTATCACAATAAAGCGTCGTGTACACCCATACACACACACACACACACACACACACTAGCCTTTTGGTCAGGATCTGTAAATAACGAGCTTACTACAAAGTCGTCGTTGTCGTTGTTGGTTATATCATTATTATTTTTTTTTATGTATTCTCCTCCGCCCCAGCGTCGGCAGAGTGACACTGAGAAAAATCGGTCGCGCGGAAAGGTTGGCGTCGGCGGCCGATTATCGGCAGCAAACGGTCTCCCCGACATAGTCGTTTGGCTGTTTTTGTCGTCGTCCGATTTTATACTGACCGTCGACGGCCATTTTGTTTTTATGCCGACCTTTTATCAGTGCGGTCCAGCTCTTTAAACCGTTAGCAGCAGTGGTGTAGTACGCAGTTCCGTCGTAGTCGTCGTCGTCCCGGATATTACAAACGATCGTCTCTTTCACCGTGCCAACAATAACAACCGCCGCCGCCGCGTCTTGTTCTTATATAACGTCGGTGGGTTTTGTTGTTGACGGCTGCAGCCGATTCGCTCATCGTGCGATGTAATAACGCTGAAAAAAAAAAACAGCAATGATAACTCGACGTTTGGGCTCGAACTATCGCCGCTGCAGCGTCGGAATCGATCGTTTTATACAGGGTGATTCACCAAGCATATGGTCACCCCTTTTTCCCTGAATTACGCAATTATATCCAAAATCTGATATTTTTAATTGTTAAATGTTCTTTCAGACCATATTTTCAAATATTCTTGAGATTTTTTGTACCTACTACTTAGTAGGTGTTCTGTAGGGATTCAAACTTCTGTTTTTCAAACGATAACGCCCATATTTAACGATAAATTATACACTAGATATTTTTTTTAAAATTTTTTTTACGTATCAAAATCAAAATTCGTACTAGTTGTTTTTGAATTATTTTATTTTGTGTTCTACGGATAAAAGGTTCATAGTGTAATGAGTTTACAAGATATGGTGATTTGAAAATTTTAGTCGTTAATATTAACCTTCGATATTAAAAATTTGTAAAAATGGCCAAAGTATATTATCATTAAATACTGGATTCAATTTTATGTCTATTTTATTTTTATGTAAAACCAGTTTTAATTTTGAAAGTGGTACATTACAATTTTCAAAAAAATTATCCACTAATTAATTTACAGTAAAGTTAGTGGGTTCTCATTTGAAAACCATAAGTTTTGCAACACCACAGGACACTCCTTGTAGTACAAAAAAATTCAAGAATTTTAATAAATTAATTATTAGAAGAAAACATGGGGGTGGTTATGCTTAGTGAAGCACCCTGTATAGTGTATATATTATTATTATCGAAGGCCGACCGCACCGCAAGTTTTCGAAATCGTTTTGTTTATTACATTATAGATGTTATAGTCACGTTTTGAATATATGTACGCTCGCGATTTCAGACATTATATTTGTGTTTTTTTTTTTTTTTTTTTAACATGCACGTGTATGTCAAGAAAATTACCGTCGAAAACTTTTGAGCTTAAAACGGGAAAGTTTTATCAATCACGGACGGATTTCCTCTCGGGTTTTCATTACCGTATAATATTATTGAACTTTTTTCTCGAGATTTTGTTACCGTTTTTGATAGAAATACAACGTTCGACTTTGTGCAACATGCCGAGATAGTAGCATATATAGCTATATATAAATGTATGAAAACAAATTATAAAACGAAACTTAGAACTTAAGTGAAACCATCACCGACATGATGTCACATTGAATAATCGTTCATAACCATATATGTAGCAAGTATAGTGGTAAATGAAGGGTGTTTACTGAGATCTTAAAATCAAATGCTCCTCTTCAACGTTAATATTTCCTTATCTATTTAATTTAAACGGAGCGTGACGTAATACATATAATATATTAATATGCATAATCTACTGCTTATTTAGAGCTTGATTTATATGGTTTTGTTGTTATATATGGGCACACTGCAGATATAGGTGTTTTCTTGATTTATGAATTTACCGATACATATAACGCATGATTTACACATGCATATATATTCTATGTTTTGATTATGGAAATGATACACAGGTATTTTTATGTTTTAAATAAGAGAGCAGGAATTTCATTGTAAAAATCCTTTGAATATATATTTCACATTGTAGTGGTTATTAGTTTTTTCCAAAAAACCAACTCTCATAATGTTGTGGCCAAGTCGTGGGACACATTCACATTGAAAGTTGCGGACTTCTTGAAAACAAATATTACAATCGACAGTACCTTATACGTTTGCTGACGTTTTTATGAACACGCCTATATTGTAGTTCAATGAATAAATGTTACTTTTACTATAATTAAAAGATGATAATTAATAGGAAAAAATAAAAATTCTAGAATTATATAATATATGTCTCGCCTAAGTTCAGAATCAAAAATAAAAGTGTATATTTAATGTCTGAATCGGTTCACTACATCCGTAATACAACATATACCTATGAATGACGACATAATTATATGTCTTAAGTTTTTAAACTTTTGATGAAAATACAAATTCCACTACTTTTGTGCAGTTTAAAAATGTCAATGAATGTATAATATGTATTAGGTATCTACATAATATTAAAAATACGTTGTGCAGATAAAAATCGACCTTAGTCGAGTTACGCGCAGCAATATCGCGAGTTATTATTTTTTAGCCCCTCGACCATACACCGCAAATAACTTCGGGGTAAGTGTTATTTTCATACAATATTTAAATGTCATACCAGAAAACTATTTGTGGTATTTATTATATTTTATAATAGATCGTCATTGTTAAACAATTTCATCCGTGTCGTGGCGATGCGTGAACGCACGTAGTTCGTACGCCCGAATTATACATAAACGCGTGTAATAAATATCGTATACGACCGCTGTACACATAATAATATATACATTATATATACATGCATTGATGACGTGACCTAGTTTTATATATTTTTTTCAATATTTTTGCTCTCCGTACGAAATTTTTTTTTCTGTTCATCGAATTCCAAAACGGCCAAAATGTCATTCATTTGTCTCGTCGTTCGCATTAATTTCGTCGTCGCGGCAGCGTCGGCTGTGGTAGCGCTGACCGTTCACGCGCGCACCATAATATAGATAGGCTTGGGGTGCGGTGGATGGGGTGGACGAGGAGCAAATACATATAAAGCGCACGTTTCGCGCATAATTGATGGCCTTTTCGATTCCTCGCCACCCCA